AGGAACTGTCGCCATGTGAGTAATGCCCAACGTATCCCATAAGCCTCCTTCTCCCATACGGGCCAGCGCTGTTCTGTTTCCGTGAGTTTCTTGGATGTATATGCACAGGGTTGCAATACTGCATCATCATTTTCTTGTAATAGCACAGCCCCCACTGCCACATCACTTGCATCTGCCTGTATTATGAAGGGTTTGTCCATGTCTGGGTGCCTTAGTACTGGTTCGGCAGAAAAAAGTCTCTTTAGTCTCTCAAACGCTGCTTGGCACTCCATTGTCCATGTTAGTGGCTGGCTAGGTTTTACTGAGGATGTTCCCTTCGTTTTTAGTAAGTTAGTGAGGGGCAAGGCTATCTGTGCAAATGAGGGGATGAATTGGCGGTAAAAATTTGCAAAGCCCAGGAAACTTTGTAGTTGCTTTCTTGTGCGGGGTGGTGCCCAATTTAGTACTGCTTTGACCTTCTCTGGGTCCATTTCAATGCCCTGTGGGGATATGCGATAGCCTAGGTAGTCTATCCTTTCCTGGTGGAATTCGCATTTTGAGAGTTTGGCATATAGGTGAGCGGCTCGCAGCTTCTTTAAAACCGCTCTGACAAGTTTGACGTGTTCTTCTTTTGTTTCGGTAAAGATAAGAATGTCGTCCAAGTAAACAAGGACCCCCTTAAACAGGTGCTCCCTTAGAACGTCATTGATTAATTGCATAAAGACTGCAGGGCCCCCTTGTAATCCAAATGGCAAGACTTTGAATTGATAGCACCCCATGGGGCAGTTAAATGCAGTCTTCCATTCGTCCCCTTCCTTGATTCTCACTCGATAGTAAGCTTCCCTTAAGTCTAGTTTAGAAAAATTTTTCCCTTTCGATAGGTGTGACAGCATGTCTTTCATGAGGGGCAGCGGGTATAGGTTGCTTTCACTGATTGTATTCAGGGCCCTATAATCCACGCATAAACGTAAAGAGCCATCCTTCTTCTCTCTAAAAAGGACCGGGGCAGCCACTTTAGGCTTGGCTGGCTCAATGAAACCTCTCTCCAGGTTTTTTTTTATAAATCTTTCCATTTCCTCCTTCTCCTTTGGGCTCATGGAGTATAATCTGGGCTTCGGGAGTTTTGCCCCAGGCTTGAATTCAATGGTACAGTCTGTGGGTCGGTGGGGGGGAAGCTCATTCGCCCTCTCCTCACTGAAGACTTCAGCAAGGTCCCTATATTCCTCTGGTATTTCTGTTAATCTTTTTTCCTCTCCTATGGATGCTTTTTCTATTCTTGATTCTGGTAGCCTCCCTTGGGGTTTTAAGTCCATAGGGTCCCCCTTCGGGAATTTGATTTCTGTCGTCCTCCAATTTACCCAGGGGTTCCATTTTTTCAACCATTCCATCCCTAGAATCATTGGGCATTCCATACCTGGGGTCACCACAAACGTTAAGTCCTCTTCATGGTTGCCCAGGGAGAGGTGTATTGGCAGAGTGGCTAGGGTAGCTGGCACCCCCCCTGCTATGGATCCATCTAGCTGGCCAAATGAGATTGGTTGTTCCAGTCTCCTGGATGGGATGCCCAGATTCCCCACTAGTGTTGGGCTAATGAGGCAGCGGGTACAGCCAGAGTCTATTAAGGCTTTCACCTTCACAGCTTCGGGCATGGGGGGGATTAATATAGTCACTGTTTTGAAGATGGGTGTGATGCATCCACTTACCAGGGGTTCGCCCTCCGAGCTGTCATCTGAGGCATCCACCGGCCCTGTGGTGTAGGCTGGAGTCCTTTCCCCTTGGTGAGCAGAGGTGGGGGTTTCTGCAATTTCCATCATTCTCATGGCCGTTTCTTTTGGCTTAGCTGAATACTTTCCGGGTTTGTTGATTGGGGATCTGTCTGGGTTGTGCTGGGGGGCCTTTGAGCGGCATTCTACAGCTCGATGCCCTTCTCTTCCGCACTTGAAACATCCCATTTGCTTCTTGGCTGTATCCGATGATTTCACCGGTTGGTGTGTCAGCTCAGGCGGGGGGCGGCTCCATTGTTTTCCTCGGCGGTGCCTCTTCAATATGTCGATCTCTGCTTCCTCTGCCAAGACGTACCATTCCTCAAGTCGATGTGGGTCCCCTCGGGGCAGGCAAGCATCATATAGATCATAGTTTAGTCCGTCTTTGAAACGGCCAAGGAGGATGTCTTCTGGCCAATTCAGTTTGCTGGCAATGGCTCGGAATTCTTGTGTATACTCAGCCACTGGGCGTTTGCCCTGCCTCATCGTTGTTATTCTTTCACGGGCTTTGCGATCAGCCAGGGGGTCTTCAAATCGTCTTCTCAAAGAGGACATGAAACGGTTGAAGTTACTGAGTTCTGGGGCATTGGAGTCATGCAAGTTCACTACCCAATCCGCAGCTGGTCCATCCAGGGCAGATTGCACGATCCGGATGCGGGCTTTGTCGCTGGGAATATCCTGCCCATATTCCTCCATGTAGCTGAGGATTTGGGTTAGGAAAAACCCCAAGCGTGTTGGCTCCCCTTTGAATTTCACTTCCAATGGTGGACGTCTTGGAATGGATCGGTGCCTCTGTTGTGGGTGGTAGTGCCTTCCGTCCAGATTGCCATCTGTGGTCCGGTAGGGGGTGGGAGCTCCTGGATCAGTAGATGTCCCTGGGGTTGCAGGTTCCATGTCCCCCTCGGTGTCTCTCCCTTTGCGGCTCCAGGAACTGGGGCGGCCGTAGGGTTCAGTATTCTCCTCTCCTAGGGAGCTGAGAGTTCTCTTCATCAGGTCAATAGCTTTCTCTAGGATCCAGTCTGAGTACGGTGCCCAGCTTCCTCCCTCTTCACTTGCGTGCAGGGATTTCTCCATCTCCTGCTTCCATTCTGGTTGCTTGGTCCCCCGTCTCAGGGTCACCTTTCTTGATTCCTTTCCCCACTCACTTTTCTTTCCAACGCCCATCGACCAGCGAGGCTTGTGGTCCTGTGTCTCCACCACTTCTTCTCCTGAGGAATCTGGCCTCTCGGATCCCAACATCTGGCAAGGTTCCAACTGGGTCAGCGGCTCTCTTTCCAGGGAGTTTTCCCCCTCTCTTGCTCCATTGTCTGACATGGTAAATTTTTGCAAAATCCCCCGGCAAGGGTCTTCCTTCCAGGTGGATTAATTTTGCAAGTCCTGTCTAATGTAAGGACCCACCCCACTTTGCATCTTAAGAAGACAGAACTCTTGGAATAATTCTTCCAACAGGAATCCTTTATTAAGAGAAAATGGTTGCAGGCATGCTAGACAGGACTTGGGGTCCAAGCTCTCCCATTCAAGGTTTTAAGGGGTTCCCCAGTAGTCCCACCCAATCAACCCCCCTTCCAGTGATAGTTTCAAGTATCACAATTCCACTCCCTTTCTTCTTTCTTCCGTCTTGATGGAGACTTCAGATAACTACATGAAAGGCAACTTCCCTCCTTTGGTATGTTAACACTTCGAGGTTACAATAAACACACATTCAGCATTCAGCTCTTTGAAGTGTAAAGAAGGAAGTGAGGGCCATAAAGCCCCTTTGTTCTCCCCCTTCTCTCCCTCTTATGGCAGAATCCAGAGAAGGCAGAATTGGGAGTTTCTATATTTGATAATTTAAAGATGAAATATAATTGGATTCTGACAGTTGCTTCTCTCTTTGGTCAGTTTCCAACCATTGTTTCTCTGGTGTTTTTGGAGAATACTTTGACACCCCCCCTCCTCCTTGAGGCAGCCCCTCAAATAGTGGAACGCTGCTATCGTGTCTCCCCTATTTCTTCTTTTCTTTAGACTAGTCCAAGGGTGGGGAACCTTGGCTCTTTTATGACTGGTGGACTTCAATTCCCAGAATTCTTGAGCCACCATGGAGGAACTATGGCGCCTTCACGACCGGTGGACTTCAACTCCCAGAATTCCTCACTCAGCATGGCCAGCTCAGGAATTCTGGGAATTGAAATCCACCAGGTTTCTAACTAACAGCTGCAGCGATTCACTTAGCAACCGTGGCAGTCGGTCGTAAGGTGGGGCAAAACTCACAAGTGTCTCACTTAACGATGGAAATGTTGGGCTCGTTAGCGGTCATAAGCCGAGGACTGCCCGTATGTTCCTGTACTCTCTCCTTAATTGCTCCCCCACCTCCATCTTTTAGAGGAAGGGGCTCCCAAGGGCTATTTTGCTTTATCTTGGGCACCTCCTAAAGCTCCAGAACCGAGGCCGTAACAGCCACGATAATCAAAACGGCACCCCAGGAATTAAGACCGGGGCCTGATCACCCTCTGGGTTTCACCCCCTCACCCACCTTGTGGGGAGATTCCCGCCAGAAGAATCTGCAGGCCGGGGTCCCTTTGATGTGGGGACCAGCGCAGTGGTTTGGCGCCTGCCTGCCCGGCTGCATTTGGCACCTGCTGGCACTTGGGGCGCCTCTTCCTGCAGCCCCACACCAGCGCAGGGTGGGCATCCACACCTGAGCGAGGAGGGACAGCCAGTGGCCCATCGACCCCCCAGAGGGCCACTCCTGGCACCCACGGCCACCCCACAGGAGCCCGGGGAGGACCCCGGACGGTGGGCTGGCTCCCTCAGAGGGGGCGCAACCCGACCCGGAGGGGGCTTTCAAGGAGCCCCCCCAGTTTGCAGGATTCAGGACGGCCTCTCTGGAGCCTCCGGACGATTCAACCCACCGGTGTGTCTCCCCCCAAAATCAGGCAGCTTGGGGAAGATGGGGGGCACCCCTAGAAGGGAGGAGCTCCCCGTCTCGAGAAACAGGATGGGATCAGCAGGGTGAGGGGGGCTACCCTCACGCCAAGTCCTCGGCCACCCTGGAGCTGACCGACACAAAAGCTTTGCTTCCGGGATCTGACTCCCCCTCTCCCCCCCCCCCGTGCTTGGCAGTGCCAGCAAAGAAAGGTCTCATCGTCTGCCAAGGATGGAACCCCAAGTTTCCATCTGAGGGGGGTGTGGTGGAGGGAGGACTCCTCGGCACCCCCTTATCCTGCAAGCCCCCCCATTCTCCCCCCGCACCCCAAAGACCTCCAATCACACGACACGTAGAAAAGGAAATCTTTATAAGCCGATGCGCAGAGCAAGGGAAGCAGCCAACAATCGACAGCAGGCGAACCCCAACAGGCATGGGATGGGGGAGTAGCACCCTGCGGCCCAGGGGGCAGCGGCCAGGAGCCCCACCACCTTGGGAGGGGGGATGGTCTGTGTGGGTAGTGGCACCACAGGAAAATTCTTCGGTTGCTGACAGGACCGGATCTTCCGGGGGACGAGAGGGTGCAGGGGGGCTCCTGTCTCCTTTTGGCCGGGGTCTCCTCCATGCCTGGCAGCCTGCAATGGGGGGGGGCTGCTTACCCCCTCCCAAAGCATCTTCCTGGGATCGATTGGCACGCAGGGCTCCACGAGGACAGGAAGCCACACACTTCGGTTGCGTGACCAACCCCTGGCCAAGTCGGTCTTGCAGTTCTGGGGGGGGGCGGCAGAAAAGTCCCCCCACCCCAACTAAGGGAGCCCCTTCAGTACTAGGAAAGGGGCTCACACTGCAGGGGGAACCAACATATGCGGGGGGGGGAACTCGGCGGGCTTTTCAAGGCCTCCCCCCTGGGGGCCCAGAGCAGGCCAGGCTGGCTCCGTTATTCTAAGAGCCCCCCCAATCCAGCACTTGGAGGGGGTCTGCACGAGGCCGGCCACACAGGACCCTGCTCTGGAAGCCGTCCGGGGGGAGAAGCGAGGGCAGGGCCCCGACCCTCCCAGGGGCCCCGGGAACAGGTAGGGAGGCCCCCCATCTTGCCAAGGGGGTGGGAGGGAGAGGGAACAGGCGGGAAGGTCAGACAGGCACTCTAAGCAAATTCAGCATCCCCTCCCCAATTGCCAACTAAGATCCACAGGGGGAAGGGGGGGCTCCCAACACCCCACCCCGTTCATCTGCAGCCCTTCCGGGAGGATCCAGAGGGAGGCTCCACCCCCCGGCAGGACGGTCACTTCGGGGTGGGCTCCGGCGACGAGGACCCGGCTCCAGAGGGCTTCCGCTTGCCGGCCCCCTGGCCCTGCTCGGGCGGAGAAGCCGCGGCCGGAGGGTCTTCGGGCGGAGGAGGGCCCTGGGCGCTCGGCTCGGCCGTCTCCTTCTTCTCTCCGAAGACTGCCAAGGAGAAAGACGGCCAGTCAGGGAGCAGGGGGGGGGGGCGGGGATGGGGGGGCGGCAGTCGCTGCTCACTCACCTCGCTGGGAAAGCATCTGCAGGCAGCCCAGCAGCAGGAAAGTGACTAGGAAGAGGCCAATGGCGTCCTCCACGGAGGGGAGCGAAGACCCTGGAATGGGAGGGAGGCGGGGGAGGCCCGGAAATGGACATCAACTTCCCCCCCCCGGAAGGGGGTAGGCTCTCCCAGACACCCCCTCCCCTCAGTTGGCCCTCGCGTTCTTCTCCACTCCCCCCTCCAGGCAGCCCCCCACACGTGGCCGGGCCCCTCCCCTGCGCCTACCTGCCACGTTCAGCTTCATGGTCTTCTGTAGCCCCTCCTGGCCCAGCCCCACGTGGCTCACGTGGCAGCTGTATGAGCCCCCCTGGTCCCCCGGCTGGAGGGCTGGCAGGCGGGCGAAGCTGGTGAAGCTGTGGGTGCCGTCTGGCGCCTGCCGGTGCCCCGATTCCCAGGTGTCCAGGAGGGCCTGGTGGGGGGCACCGGGGCTGCGCCACTTCCAGACCACGGAGATGCTCTGCGGGTAATAGCCGGCCACCTCACAGGCCAGGTCCGTGTGGGTGTCCAGGGGCACCGGGAGGGGGATCGGGCGGAGGGTGACCTTGGGCGGCTCTGGGGGGGCAGAGAGAGAGGGGGAGGCTAAGGGCGAGGGTTTCTTGCCTGAGCAGAGGGTTGCACTAGATGACCTCCAAGGTCCCTTCCAGCTTTTATTATTATCATTACCCTGGAAACCAGGGAGACGTTGGAGGAGACCCCCCGTCCTATGGGCCGGCTCCACCCAACCCGGGGGAAGGGCGTGCAGCAGCACAGGGGGGACAGGGGGCGCTGGGGGGGCAACTCACGCACGATCCTGAGCTCCACGGCCTGCTGGGCCTGCAGCTGGGGCAGGTAGACGGAGCAGATGTAGGTGCCCTCGTGGCGCACCTGGGCCGTCTGCAGCTGCAGCGAGACGTTGCCGCCCGCCTGGTCCAGGAAGAGCCGGGCGCCCTCCTCGGACACCGTGACGCGCTGGGCGGCCCCGTTGTAGGCCAGGATCACCCGGCCGGCCCCGCTGTGCTGGTGGCGCCACTCGACCGAGAAGGCCGTGGGGGGAGCCGAGAAGCCGCAGTCCAGCAGGACGTCATTCCCCAGGCGGGACTCCAGGCGGGGCGTCCGGGTGAAGACGGAGAGGACGGCTGTGGAGGAGGAGGGGGGAGGGGGAGGAGGAGGAGGGCTCCTTATTCCTTGAAATGAGGGTCTCAGAAAGGGCTTCATTGGGGACCTCCGGCTGCCTCCTCCCAACCACCACACTAGGGAGATAGGTTGGCCTGCAACTCCCATCCTCCCCAGCCAGCTGGGGAACGGATCTGGTCCCCCCATCTACACTGCGGCTCCTGCCTAGGACAAACCCTGCACATTAGTCCAGGATGGCTCCTGCATTTATTAAAGAAAAGCCCAGATGGGGCGGCACCCCCCCAAACAGGGATAGGGTGTGCGTGTGGGTGTACCTGTTGCCACGGCGACCCTGGGAGTCTGCGGTTTCCCGGGCAACGGCCCCTCCTGGTGCAGGATGGTGCTGACGCCGAAGCCCGCCTCGGGGCTCTGGATGGTGGCGATGACCCAGCGGCCCTCCAGGCATCGGGGGGAGCCCGTCCGCCCCGCCAGCCCCGCCGCCCAGGGCACGTGCGCCTCCCGCGGCGGGTAGGGGTTGATCTCGCAGGCGGCCTCGGCCCCTCCGCGGCCCGGCAGACGGGAGCCCTGCCAGCGGGGACGCGCGCCGGCCTCCTTGCCGCTCCAGAGGGTGCCGGAGGGGTCTGCCCAGAGGGGGGAGACGGGCAGGGGGTCAGAGCCGGTGCCCCCCGGAGCCCCCCGCCCCGTCCAGCGCCAGGAGAGAGCCGCCCCCTCCCCCGCCCCCCTTACCCAGCAGCTGGAAGGCCAGGCCGGCCTCCACCTCGGCGGGCAGCTCCGGCTCCAGGGCGGCTTCGGGCAGGCGCTGCCCGGGCGGCGGCAGGACGAGCAGAGCGCGGCGCTGGCTGAGGTCGCTGGGCATGACGGAGCCGGCCCCGCCGCGGCCGCCGCCCGCCTCCTCCACGAACCAGCAGCCCAGCCGGGCGGCGGCCGACGGGGGGGAGGCGGCCAGGGAGGCTCCTGCGGGGAGAGGAGGCGCTCAGCCCCGCCCCGCCCCGCCTCCACCCCCCCCCGCCCCGAAAGGGAAAGCGGCCCCGCCCCAGCGGGAATCCCCGGCCGGAGCCTGGCCGGCCTCTCTGCCGCCGCCGCCTCCTCCGGGGGTCGCGCCGCGGGAGGGCTCCGGCCGGGGGGGGCGGGCTTGGAGGGCCCCTCGGGGGTCGCAGGAGCCCCTCCCTCCCTCCCCCCCGCGGCCCAGGACCCCCTGCCCCCCGCCCGCACTCACCGAGGAGGAGGGGGAGGAGGAGGAGGGGGCGCGGGCGGAGGGGGCACCGGGCGCGGCGGGCGGGGGCGTCCATGGCGATGGGAGCGGCCGTGCAGGCGAGGACCGGGAGCGGCGGAGCGACGCTGCACGATCTGCGTCGGCCGGGGCCGCTTTCACTTTCGGCGGAGGAGGAAGGGGAGGGGCCCCAGGGCGGCCAATGGCCTCGACGCCGCGGGAGGCGGTCACCGGCAGGCTCGCTCGCTCGCGGCGAAGGAGACCCCCGGCCGAGGGAGGCGAGCCAGCCCCGCCGATCCCCTTTGCGGAGGGAAGCGGTGGGGAAGCCCCTCTCCCGGGGACTCCCCGGGGGGAGGGGCTGGCCTTGGCTAACAGAGATTTCCCCCCGTTCTCTGACGTCACGCGTATTTACAAGGGGGGGGGTCTTCCTAGGGCCCACGTGGTGCCACCCAGCCCGATGGGATCTTCCGCAGAGCTCTGGAAGAAAGCCGTCTGTGGGGCCGGGGTCCAGCCTTTGCCCGTCCAGGTGGGCGATCTCATGCCGGCAGTGACCGCCAGAGGGTCACGGCTGGTCCAAGAGGAGTATAGCCGGGCCACGGGATGGGAGAGCACCAGGAGATCCCAGGATTGCTATAACTAGGAAGTCAACCAAGCCTGCTGGAGAAGGGCACAGGGCTGGACCGAGAGTGGGAGGATGAGAATTTCCGCTTCCTCCGTGCAAGTGGACTTGTGTTGGGGTTTGTGTGTGTCCCTGAAAGCTTCTGCTGAAAAAGGACCTGTTCAAACAGGGATGGTAGCTTGGAACAAATCAGTGTGACTGGCACCAGGTCTGTATTTACACCTTTGCACCATCCATATGGGCCCCGTTCTCCGAAAACCTTCCCCACAACCACGAGGGTGAGGTGGGCCCAAAGGGAGACCCCCATCGAGGAGGGAGGGGGAGAGAGCGAAGGGAGCATCTGCTGGAATGGCCCTCTGGGGGGGAGGGGAGGGGTTGCAAAACTGGTGCTACTGGTGGGCTCTCCTCCCTCCCTCCCTAGCCAACCAGTCTGGTCTCCAGCAGAGCCCCCAATAAAGTGACCGCTGGATCCCAGCAAGGCCAGGGCGGAGCTTGCAAAAGGCCGCAAGAAAATGAAAATGACGGGTGACAGGATAGCAGTCTTCCAATATTTGAGGGGCTGCCCCAAAGAAGAGGCAGTCAAGCTGTTCTCCAAGGCGCCTGAAGGCAGGACAAGAAGCAACGGATGGAGAGAAGCCACCTAGAACTAAGGAGAAACTTCCTGACAGTGAGAACAATTAATCAGTGGAACAGCCTGCAGTGAATGCTCCTACAGTGGAAGTTTTTAAGAAGAGACTGGACAGCCTTTTTTCTGAAATGGTGTAGGGAGTTGGACTAGATGACCTCCAAGTTGGAAGCTTTATTATGATGATAATGATGATGATGATTAGTCAACACTGCTAACATCAGATGTTCTTACTTTGACAACCGATGGAAATGTAGCCATCTTTTCTCTTTCGCTCGTAGAGTTAGATGATGCTGGGAGGGGGTGTGTGGATGAGAGTCCAGCCAGTCATAACAACAACAACTCAGCTGTGGGAATCCAAGGGAATCTTAGTTGGCAATTGGGGGAGCGGTGCTGAATACAATAGTATAGAATAGAAAATGGAATACAATGGAATGTAGAATAGAATAGAATAAAATAGAAGGGAATGGAATAGAATAGAAATAGAATAGAAAATGGAATAGAATAGAAAATGGAATAAAATAGAATAAAATAGAATAGCATGCAGAATAGAATAGAATAGAAATAGAATAGAATGGAATGTAGAATAGAATAGAAAATGGAATAAAATAGAAAATGGAATAAAATAGAATAGAAAATGGAATACAATAGAATGTAGAATAGAATAAAAGGGAAGGGAAGGGAATAGAATAGAAATAGAATAGAAAATGGAATAGAATAGAATAGAAAATGGAATGGAATAGAATAGCATGCAGAATAGAAAATGGAATAGAATAGAAAATGGAATACAATGGAATGTAGAATAGAATAGAAGGGAATGGAGTGGAATAGAATAGAATGTAGAATAGAATAGAACAGAATAGAAGATGGAATAGAATAGAATAGGAGGTCTTCTAGTCCAGCCCCCCCCCCCTCAAGCAGGAGGGCCTATTCTACTGTCTCAGACAGGTGACTGTCCAGTCTCCTCTTAAAAGCTCCCACGATTTCTGCCTTTTTGTTTGGTTTTCTCTCTTCGGGATTCTACAATTGCATCCCTGCATTTTCTTTTTTCTCTCTCTCTTTTCCTGGTTGTGTTAAAGCAGGGTTTTTTTTTCAAACTTCGAGTTGGGTGGACTCCCACAATCATCCTTTCCACCTAGCCCAGGGCTAGGCAACCTCGGCTCTTTTAGGACTCGTGGACTTCAACTCCCAGAATTCCTCAGCCAGCAGGAGGAACTATGGCCCCCCCTTTATGACTCATGGACTTCAACTCCCAGAATTCCTGAGCCAGCCTGGCTCCGCTTGGAAGCCTCTCCCTTTCCCCTCAGGATGGGTGGCTCAGGAATTCTGGGAGTTGAAGTCCACAAGTCCTAAAAGAGCCGAGATCACCTAGCCTGGCCTGAAGGCCCGCTTTCAGAGGCGGACGGAACCAACGCTACATCGGCCTCCTCCCGGAAGCCCCGCCTACCGGGGGCCATCTCAAGGCAGGCCGGGAGGGCAGCGGAGGATGCCGCAGCCATTTTAAGTTGGGGCGTTCGCGGCGGACGATTCCTTTTCTTCCAACGGTTCTTTTTTTTAATCCCCGCCGCGGAATCGCAGGGCGAGCCAGGCCGAGGATTCACGAGTGGCGCTTCCTCCGCCCCCCCTACGGAGCCGCTCCGCGCGCCGGAATTTACCCGGGCGGACGAGGGAGGCGGGCGGGAGGCCGTGCCCTTCTCAAAAATGGCCGCCGCCGCTTTTCCCCCCCGCTCCGTAAAAGGCGGTGACTGCTGCCTCCCACACCCGCCTCCTGGTGCGTCACTTCCGGCGGCCAGCTGAGCCCGTCCCGGAAGCGGCTCCTCCACGTGGGGCAGCGGCTAAGAGGACATGGCGGGGGGAGAGACGGGGGGCGCGGCGGGCGAGGCGGCGGCGGCGGCCCGGGGGGCGGCTGCCCCTCCCACCAGGAGGAAGGTGAGGCGCTGCTCCCCCCCTCCCTACGCTGGCGGGGGCGCTTGCAGGGCTCACAGAGCTGGGAGGGAGACCCTGGAGGTCATCTAGTCCAACCCCCCCCGCCCGACCAGGGGACCCCACTGCAGCCCTGCACAATGGGGTGTCCGCCCGGTCTTGGGAAGCCTCCAGGGAGGGGGAGCGCCCACCCCGATGCCCCCCCAATATTCCCCAATCCTCTCGCCCCTCCCTCCCTCCAGGCCGGGCGGAGGCAGCGGCGCTACTGGGACGGGGAGCCGGACCCGGCCGAAGGCGAGCGGGTCGTCCCTCCGAAGGCCAAGAAGGGCCAGCGGCCGCGGAGGACGAAGCCGGCCGGCAAGAAACAGATCTCCGGGGTGAGTGCCCACGGAGGGGGAAGGAGGGTGGAAAGGCGGGAGGGGGAGGGGGTGGAAGAGGGAGGGCAGGGAGAGGAGGGGGGAGGGGTGGGGGGCAGGGGAGGGAGGAGGGGAGGGGCAGGGCAGGTGGTGATGGGTGGGAGTGGAGGAGGGGCGGGCGCATGGAGGAAAGGGCGGGGGAGGGGAGGCTAGAGAAAGGGGCAGGGCAGGGGAGGGGGTGGCAGGCAGGTCATCCACGCCATGCTCTGGGCTTCTCTCTCCCCCCCCCCCCCCCCCGCAGAAAGCCGACCCCTTCCCTGGAGCCGCTGACCCGGTCCCTCCCGAGCGAGTGCAGAAGTTCCAGCGGGGAGCCCCACAGCAGCTGGTGAGCTCTCTGGCCCCCCACACCCCCAGTTGCTCCTGGGCCCCCCTCCCGTGCTCCTATGATGCCGTGTCCGTGTCCCGCAGGAGGCAGTGTCCAGCGAGCGACTGAAGCACCGGCTGGCCTCGCAGGAGGAGAAGGCCCGAACGGCGGCTCGCCAGGCGGCCCGGATGGAGCTGCTGCTGCTGGAGGAACCTGGGTGAGCCCCTCCCCCCTCCTCCTGGCCCCCCACCCAGGAAGGAGGGTCTCCGCCGCTGACAGGAGGGGCCCTTGGTGCCCTCTTGGGCCGGCCGGTTCTCTTGTAGACACTCCACGGCCCAAACCAGGGAACGTCGCCCGTGCTAGTCCTAGCGGTCCCAGCCCTGATGACGCTGCCTAGTTGGGTCAAGAAATGTCTGCAGGAGAACTAGCCGGCTCATGAAGAGAGCATCAAGGAGCCCTCCTGTCTGTCTGTCTGTCTAATCTATCTATTTGTATCTGTATCTTATCTCTATTATCTATCACTATCTTATCTATCTATCTAATCTATAACTAATCTAATCTATCTGTATCTCTATCTGCCTGAGCAGGGGGTTGGACCTGATGACCTCCAAGGTCCCTTCCAACATCATCATTATTATTATCTATCACTATAACCTAATCTATATCCATCTGTATCTAATCTATAATCTATCTTGTCTGTCTATCTGTCTGTATCAATCTAATCTATCTATTTGTATCTTATCTCTATCATCTATCACTATCTTATCTATCTAATCTATAACTAATCCAATCTATCTGTATCTCTGTCTGCCTGACCAGGGGGTTGGACCTGATAACCTCTAAGGTCCCTTCCAATGTTGTTGTTGTTGTTGTTACTATTATTATTATTATTATTATTACCTATCACTGTATCTATCTGTATCTGTCTCATTTCTCATCTATCACTATCTAACGTCTAATCTATCTCTGTCTGTCTACCTACCTACCTACCTACCTATCTATCTATGATAGTTACCTAGTTAGGGCAATGAAACGTCTGCAGGAGAACCAGCCAGCTCAGAGAGCACCACGGACGCCTCACCCCACCCACCTGCGAACTCATCCTGTGGCAAGCTGTTCCACTGCCCCCCCCCCAGCCCCCTTGTCTTTTGCGCAGCTGCATCCTGGCACTCCCGTGTTGAAGAGGGTCTCTCTGCTGCTGCTGCTGCTGCTGCGCTTTTTAGCACTTGGGGGGGCAGGGGGAGGGGTCTCTTGGTTGCAGCCTCCCTGCTACAGGCCCAGGTCCAACCCCTTTGCAGGGCCCACAGCCCTCGGTCATCTGCCCAGAGTGGAGGGGAAGGGGGCGGCCCTCCAGTCCCCGGCCCCTCCTCCACCTCTCCTGTGGGATGTGGGGGGGGCTGGGGGGGGGAGAGGACTTTTCTGTTGGCGTTTGGACCCCCAATGTTGGAGATCTCGACACCTTTTTTGAAAACGGGATTTTGTTTTTGTTGCAAGGACTTAAACTCTTAAGGGGCCTTGCGTTGCTCTTTCAACAATGAAAAAGGAGTCTGGAGGGCAACGCTGACCCTTCCCCTTCCCTCTCCCCCCGCCCCCCATTTCTCTTCCCCGTGTCAGGTTTCTGGAGGGGGACGAGGAGGAGGACACCTGCACCATCACCCAGGCCGATATCGCTGCTGCCGTGGACCTCGCAGCCGGTGCCAAGGTGGAGGGGGGCGCTCTGAAATGGGGTGCACTGGCAGTTACTGGTTTGGGGGGTGGTTGGGGCCCCCAACATCATCACCATCGTGCTGCCTCTTCTCCCACAGCACTTTGAGCTGCGGTTGGATCGTTTCGGCCCGTACCGGCTCAGTTACACACGGAACGGCCGGTGAGCGGGCTCTGCGAAGGGTCTCGGATCACTGAGGTTGGGGGGTGGAGTCTCCTGTGTCCCGCCCCCTCACCCCTGCCTTGCTCCCGCTTCAGGCATCTCCTCCTGGGGGGGCGCCGGGGCCACGTGGCGGCCCTGGACTGGCACACGAAGGCCCTGATGTGCGAGATGAACGTCATGGAGACTGTCACGGACCTCACGTGAGGAGCATGACGAGAGAGGGGGGGAATGAACGAGGGAGGGGGGAGCACGAAGGTCCCCCCCCCACTCAGGGTCTGCAGTCATCGGCCCAACCCTGCTGGCACGGTTCCACTCCGACAGTCACAACTTGTGAGCATTTCAACCCGCAACTGCAGGCTTTGGTTTGGCTGGGGTGTCCGTGTCCACCCGCTCCCCCAAAGGAACCGCTGTGCTTTGAGGGGGGGCAGGCGGGCCCACTTTCCACCCTGTGTGTTGCAGCTGGCTGCACACGGAGGCCATGTTTGCCGTGGCCCAGCGCAAGTGGCTGTACGTGTACGACAACCAGGGTGTGGAGCTCAACTGCCTGAAGCGCTTCCACGGCGTCCAGCGGATGGAGTTCCTGCCCTACCACTTCCTGCTGGCCACAGCGGTGAGCGGGCACTGGGCCCCACCGGCCAGGCCGCCTCTCCGAAGGGGGTTACCTGGGGTCCTTGACCGGGGGGGGGGGGAAGCTCCTGTGTAGCAGCAGTCACACGGACACACACACCCAGTCTGTCTGATTTCACGGCTTGGGTTGAGCTGAGCAGAAAAGCCCCCCCCCAAACTCAGTGGGTTCCTGAATCTGAAGGTAGGGGGGAACCCCGTGCTCATCTAGACTGACCCCTGGCCAAAGCCAGAGCCCTCAGCCATCCACCAAAGTCAGGTGGGATGGAGAGTAGCGAGGTTTCGAAGCCTGGCATGGGTGGATGTGTGTGTGGGGGTCACTTTTCTCCACCTCCCCCCAGAACTCTGTTCTCTGCTCCCCCCCCCAGAGCGAGTCAGGCTTCCTGCAGTACCTGGACATCTCGGTGGGGAAGGAGGTGGCCACCATCTGCACCAAGGCCGGCCGGCTGGCGGTGATGGCTCACAACCCCTCCAACGCTATCATCCACCTGGGGCACAGCAATGGTGAGTGGGGTGGGCTGCATGGGCCTCTCCTTGCCCTCGTCCGGAGCGCCTCCGCCCACTGACCCACCCACCTTTGCCTCCTCTGCAGGGACGGTGACCCTGTGGAGCCCCAGCGCCAAGGCCCCGCTGGTCCGGCTGCTGTGTCACCAGGGGGCCGTGAGGGCCGTGGCCGTCGACCCCTCCGGGAGGTGAGCAAAGGGGCAGTCAGGAGGGGGACGGAGGGAAGGGGGACACGCGCGGAGTGCAGAAGGGTACTCTCCTTGCCTTCTCCCGCAGCTACATGGCCACCTCTGGACTGGACCACAAGCTGCACATTTACGACCTCCGGGCGTATCGGCGCCTCCACTCCATGCTGCTGCCCTGCGGGGCTGGGCAGCTGGATTTCAGCCAGCGGGGGCTCCTGGGGGCTGCCTGCCAGGAGGTGGTGCAGGTGAGTGACGCAGGCTGAGTCTGGCCCTCCCACAGCCCGGGGCTCCTCCTCCCCGACTGGCCCCTCATGAGCTGCCGCCGCTCTCCCCCAGGTGTACAAGGACATCTCTTCCCGCCCGTCGCAGAAGCCCTACCTGTGCCACGGGCTGCCTGGCCCCTCCCACGGCCTCCGTTTTTGCCCCTTCGAGGACGTGCTGGGCGTGGGGCACGAGAAGGGCTTTGCCAGCCTTCTGGTCCCAGGTAAGGAGGGTGGGGGGGGGCGGAGTGGGGATGGGCTCACTCCCGTTTTGTGAGGACTTTCCTCAGCCGGGTTGCCTCCGCAGGTGCCGGCGAGCCGAACTTTGATGCCCTGGAGAACAACCCCTTCCGCAGCCGGAGGCAGAGGCAGGAATGGGAGGTCAAAGCTTTCCTGGAGAAGGTGAGACCCCCAGGACTGTGCCCCCATGCTTCTTTCCCCCACTTCAGCGCCCCCTCATCCCCGGCCTGCAGCGGGGCTCCTCCACAGCCGAGGCTACTCTTCCTTGGCCCTTCCAGAGGCCCCGGATCCAAGAGGGGACTTGGGAGGAGCCCCATTCCCCCCCCCACCCCGTTGTTTTTCCTCACAGCCCGTTCTTCTCCGCAGATCCCGTCAGAGCTGATCAGCCTGGACCCCACAGAGCTGGGCAGGGTGGACCCCATTTCCTTGGACCAGCAACACAAGGAGCGGGCGGAGAGGCTGGTAGGCCAGTGGGCACCGATGGGAGTCGGGGGCACAAGGCGTGGCCTTGCAGAGCTCTGGGTCTGGGGACGCTGACTCCGTGCCCCCCTCCCTGCAGGGCTTCGACCCGGAGGCCAAGGCGCCCTTCTCCCCTCGCCGGAGGCTGAAGGGCCGGGATTCGGCAGGCAGCAGGCTGAAGCGAACGAAGAAGGTGGCCGCCGAGGAAGAGCGGGTGAGTCTCCTCCAGAGGTTGACTGCTCCTCCCCGCCTCCTTCCACCCCCCCCTCCTCCCTGGATCCCAGCCCCCCCCCCATCCTGCTGAGCCACAATGTGGTTGCCAAATGTTTCCTTTTAATACATCAGAGGGTAAGAAAAGGTTCACATTTGATTCTGGAGTATCCATCTGATGGGTCACCTGGTGTCAGCCTCAAAGTAAACAATGCCTCAAGTTCTTTGAAGCGTTTCATCTGGCTCTGGAGTTTGGAAGGGGGCCCTTGGGGGAGGCGGAGGGCTTCTGCCAATTCCAGTTCACATCCAGCCACCTTCCTCCCGGCAGGCCCTGATCCGGAAGAGCTTGGCTGCCAAGGCAGAGACAAAGCAGCTGGTGACACCCAAGGCCGCAGCTCCTGCAGCCCGCAGGTCAGCGCTGGATCGTTTCTGGAAATAGCGGGCGAAGGAGGCTGGCAGGGCACGTTGGCCTCCCCTGCCGTGGGCTGGACGCCTGGCCCCGTGGACCTTCCCCGAAACCCGTCAGTTTATTTGGACTCTTGAGCTTTGATAAATACACACTTGCCATTTGTAGATTTGTAGTGTTGTGTGCTGTCTCTCTGGCCCTGTGAAGGAGGGGGGGCTGCCCCCGCTTCCCCCTCTTCCAGTAGGCAAAGAATGGGGGCTCCCCGGGGCCCGGAAACATCCTTGGGATGAGGGGCCAAAGTGGTACCCCAAAAGTATTCTTGGACATTGGGAGGGGGGGTTATCCTGCAGGCCACAGAGAGCCTCCCTTCCCTAAGGGCTGCAAACCCCCCCCACGTGAACCTGTGGATCTGGGCAACCCCAAGGATCCATCCCTGTCCCACAGACCTGGCCAGACTTGCAGCCTTCACAACCTCCCCGCATTCTGGCTTGATGTGACAGTTCTCTCTCCTGCCCCCCCCCCACAAGAGTCTTGTCCCACAGGCTCCCCAAGTCTGTCAGACTCCACCCGGAGTTTCGGGGTGGGGCGCCTCCTCCGTCCGGCCTGGCAAAAGTCCACTTGGAGCCGGTTGCGCAAGAGAGGACGGCAGCGCGCTCCGCCGGCAGCCCAAAAGACCGACCGGGAGGGGAGGCCAGGCTGTCTGCGCGGGGCCGCTTGGCCTTTGCTTCGCCCCTTGGCTGAATTCCGCGGCGGAAACAGGTGGGAGCGCCTCGTCCCGCAGTCCGCAGAGGGGAGTCCGTCCAAGGCCGGCCCGGGGAGGGGGTTCAAGGGTCGTCCGGCTCCGAGGACAGCCAGGACAGCAGCTTGCAGCGGACCAGGCCCAGCAGGCGCTGCCAGGCGGTGCAGGAGGGCTCGGGGGCGGCGGCCACGGCCAGCATCTCGGCGGCCGTCACGCGGTGCGCGCTGAAGAGCACCTCCCGGTAGCAGCAGGCGTCGGGCGGGAAGCGGGCGGAGCCGGCCAGGCGGGCCAGGTGGCGCGGGGCGATGCCGGCGCGGCGGGCGCAGAGGCCCACGAAGGCGTCCTCCAGGGGCACCAGCGGCAGGTGGCGGGCGGCGGCCAGCACGGCGCCCGCGGCCGGGGCGGAGAGCGCGTAGGCGGTGCCGCTGCAGTAGGGCGGGAAGGCGGCCTCCGGGTAGAGCCGGGCCGGCACGTAGTGGCGGCTGCGCGGGTCGCGGGTGGGCGCCACGTGCCAGTGGACGCGGCCCAGGTAGGCGGCGGCGTCGGGCGGGCCGCCCAGCCGGTCCAGCTCCCGCGCCAGGCCGGGCAGGTTGAGGTAGACGTCGTCGTCGGCCTTCAGCAGGAAGCGGGCGGCGGGGCAGCGGGCGGCGGCCCAGCCCAGCAGCGCCAGCGTCTTCAGCGTCAGGTTGCCGTAGGTGTCGGCGAAGCGGCCCTGCAGCAGGTCGCCGTGCTCGGCCGCCTCGCGCTCCAGCGCCGCTTGCAGCCCCGCCTCGGCCGGCAGCCCCAGCGCGAAGAGGACGCGCAGCCCGCGCCCGCCGCCCAGCCGCGCCGCGCCCCAGCTCCGCCGCACCGCCGCCCGCCTTGCCGCGTGCCCGGGCGCGCTGGCCACCAGCACCAGCAGCCACGGGGCCGGCGCGGCGCAGGGCGGCGGCGAGAGCTGGAAGGCGGAGGGCGGCGCCGGCGCCGGCGGGGCGTTCCCGGCCGGCGGCGGCAGCAGGAGCGGCAGGGCGCGCGACAGCAGCTCCTCGTGGCCGCCGCCCGCCAGGAAGGTCAGCGCCAGCAGGGCGGCCAGCCCGGCCAGGAGGATCCCCAGCGGGCGGCGCCGGCAGCGCTTCAGGCGAGGCGGCGCGACGGACATCGGGAGGGCCTGCAAGAGAGAAGCGGCGTCAGGCCCGCCGGAGAACCAAGGCGGCCCCGCCGCGCTTCCCGCCGCGCGCCCGGGATGGGGGCGCAGACCGGGCGAGAGAGCGCGGCGGCGCCGCGCCGGCTTTCTTCCCTCCCCTCCCTCCCTCCGCTAAAGGCGGGGAGGCGCCGGGCAAACCGACCTTGCTGGGGGAGGCGGCGGCAGCGGCGCTCGCTGTGAGTCCGGCCCGGCTGCCGGTGGCTGAGCGGCTACTCCGTCGGCAGCCTCGCTCTCGCCTCTGCGCGCCGCCGGGCAGGCGTCGTGCGCGGCCCTGCAATTAAGAGAGCGGCCCAGGCCCCGCCCCCTCCTCCTCCCACCCCCCAGAAGGCAGTGATTGCGAACCTTTTCGAGACCGAGTGCCCAAAAACTGGCCCCGCCCCACTCCTGCCCTGCTCCTGCTCTGTCCCCCCATCCCCTGCTCTGCCTCCCCACAGGACCACTCCCAGCCTCCAGGGCCTGCCCCAGATCGCCCAGGCAGCCCAGCAGCGCTATGGCAGCCACACCCTCTGCCCGCGCCCTGCAGCATCAACTGCGTGATGGGGCATGAGGGCAGAGTCATGTCTACGTTGCCTGGCTGCCATATCCTTGGCTGCGCTGCTCTGCGTGGGCCACGCTCAGGAGCGATTCTCCTTCGGGGGGCTACTGGAAAGGAGGGGCTCGTGAGGAGAGGCGAGGCTGGGGCAACGGCACGTGTGCCCACAGAGAGGGCTCCGAGTGCCACCTCTGGCACCCGTGCCACAGGTTCGCCACCACTGACTTAAGGGGGCCGGCCTTGCTTTGATCCCCGCTGCCCTGTCGCCAGCGCTGCCCTCGCCTTCCCCTGCTGGGCAGCCAAAAACTGCTCCAAGGGATGGGCATGCTGGCCAACCATGGGGGGCGAGGAAGGGTCAGGGAAAAGGGCGAAGCCCAGCAGTGGCTTGGAGCTGAGCCGAGGGACAGGCACACAAGGAGGTCTTCTAAGCAGCAGAATGGGGAGGCGCGTTCCTCTCCTGGGAGCCTCCGAGGCCTTCTGGAAAAAAAGAAGTCCAAGGCCTGCGAGTTGCTCCTTTGATGCTTTAAGTCTTACCGTTCTCTGTGTTGTTTTTATCCTCCTGGAGACGGATAGAGGAGCGGTGTCTCGGTTCCTAAGACCATTGGAAATAAGTGTTTTCCAATGGTCTTAGGTGACCCCTGTGAAAGGGTCATTTGACCCCCCAAAGGGGTCGCGACCCACAGGTTGAGAACCGTTGAACTAAGGTGATCGGGGGCCTGGAGACCAAAACATAGGAAGAACGGCGGCGGGACTTGGGTCTGGCTAGTCCAGGGGTGGGCAACCTTGGCTCTTTTATCTCTCGTGGATTTCAACTCCCAGAATTCTGTCCACGAGTCATAAAAGAGCCAAGGTTGCCCACCCCTGGGCTGGTCTAAGGAAAAGAAGAAATAGGGGAGACGTGATAGCAGCCTTCCGGTATTTGAGGGGCTGCCCCAAAGAAGAGGGGGTGAGGTTGTTCCCCAAAGCACCAGAGGGAAGGACGAAAAACAATGGTTGGAAACTGACCAAAGAGAGAAGCAACCTGGAATAAAGGGGAAACTTCCTGACAGTGAGGGCAATTAAGCAGTGGAACAGCTTGCCACAAGAAATGGTGGGTGCTCCATCACTGGAGGCTTTTAAGAAGAGACTGGACAGATGCCATAGGTTCTCCTGCTTGAGCAGGGGCTGGACTAGAAGACCTCCAAGGTCCATTCCGGCTTCTATTCTATTCTATTCCTATTCCTATTCTATTATTCTGTTCCTATTCCTATCCTAACCCCTTGCCCACCCCTCTCATCCTCCCGGAATAAGACCCTCATGGGTAGAGCTGCCCAGGATTTGCTTCATGGCCCCCGATGCTCCTAGAGGGGTCAAAAAAGTCAAGATGGCGGCCAGTTCAAACTCGTGGAGCGAAGGAGCACGGAGGAGGAGCCTCCCTTGCAGGAGTAGGAAAGGGAGTGGGTGGGTGGGTGGGAAAGGGGGCAAGCTTCCTGGGGCCCTCGAACTGGCTATCCCAGGGGCCACTCAGGGGAGGCTTTGGGGAAGACCCCGCAAAGCCCCCTAATTGGACTTCATTCCCAGAGGCCGAGGGCTGCCTGGGACCCCCCCCATTCCACCTCACCAGCCGGGGGTCTTTACCCCTTCCCCTCGTGCTGGGAGAAGAGGGATCCGGGGAAGGGATCAAGAGGGATCCCCTGGCCCTGGGCAGGGTGTAGAAGAAGTACGGCCGGGTCGGGGACCGTCAGGGGGGTCCCGTGCAGGGAAGCCCAACATCGGGGGGGTTCAGTGGCTCCTGGCCCTGCAGTGACGGAAAGGGGATGATGGTTTTCAGCAGCTGCACTGCACCCTCCACCCGTCTCGCCTTCGCTGGACACGGGGGGGGGGAGGGCGGAGGGTGCAGTCCTAGAGCGGGCGCCTCGAGAAGTGCTTCCTGCTTGCGCCCCCCCCTGCCCCATACTAGAAAGGCACCCGGGGCAGCTGCCACCTCTGAGCATCCTAAGGGGCTGCTGGAGGGGGGCGGGTCAGTGGACGGGGCCCACACAAAGGGTTTGAACATCCCTTGATCTGGGAGGGGCCGAGGCTTCCTGCTCTGGGCAGGGATTTGACTGGATGCCCTCCAAGGTCCCTAGGAGTCAAGTTTGGGAAACACTGCATTACACCTTCCTTCCTAACACTTGTCCCACGTTTCTTGGAAACATCCCCCAGCCACATCTCCTCCTCAGACAGCCAGCCGTTCTGTGGCCTGTCAGCCAGGACGGGATCGAAACTGCCTAGAAACCAGCCGTGAGAACTGGTTGAATCACCCGCAAGGCCTGTCTTGTGTTTTGGTGACTGCCTTGCCAAACTGATAAAAACTGCAGCTGTGCATCAGGAAACGGTAAGATTAAGAACATTTCTCTGGCACCAAATGTACCTAGAACAGGGGTCTTCCAACTTGGCCCTTGGATGAGGAATTCGGCGTGCCTGGCTGAGGAATTCTGAGAGTTGAAGTCCACAAGTCATCCAAGGGCCAAGTCGGAAGACCCAGAAGGAGAAAGGCAATTAACCAGGGGTACACACTGAAACTAACACAGGAAACTAACACAGGAAACTTGTGCTACCAGAGAGGTCGCCTCTGAAGCTCGTGATTTTGGCCCCCTCTCCCAGGGGTGAATTTCCTCTTTCTGCAGAAATAAACAGCTGAACGGAACCTCCCTCCTCCAAGCCTGTATTATTGGTTGACCCTGCTGGGAAAACTCAGCCAGCTGCGGCCTCCGAGCCCTCCCTCCCTCCCATTCCTTTCCAAGACATTCCGGTTTGTCAGCCATTTCTCTCCCCCCCACACACCAAAAAAATTCTGGCGCCCCAAGGAGGGGCTGGGTTCTGGGGGGATGTGGGAAGACCACCCTTAGGCAGGGGGGGAGGCCCTTCCAGATGCCAGCACGGGGCAGGTCCTGCCTGGACTAAGCCCTTGCAGCCCCCCACCTCCTGGATGAGGCCTCTTTGGGCAGCCCCCCACCTCCTGGATGAGGCCTCTTTGGGGGAGGGGCCATCCATACGGACTTTTAAAAGCTGAGAGGTCCCCAGCATAAAAGGCATCTAATCCACACACGGGGCCCTCTTGACCCCAAAGGCTGAAGGCTGGAAGGTGCCAATATGGGGGAGGCCCCTCTGGATGTCCAGCGCGCCCCTGGGGAAAGAGCCCCTCCCTGGGAACGAATCCTCCCCACAGCTCCCCCCCTGCAGAGAGGCCTTTGGGGGGGGGCAGGTGAAATGGGAAGGCAGCCCCCAAGGTGCCCGGCTGAGGAGGCCGGACCGGTTGAACCAGCACTTGCCTTGCACCTGGGAAGCTGTGGGCACAGCCGTGGGTCCTGTTTTGTGTTTGTTTGTAGAATTCCTTGAAAGAAATTCAGAGACGAGGTTCGGAGTAGCAGAATAAAGTTTCTTTTATTATCAAAGTTGAGTTTAGTAAAAGAAAACGGTTTGCAAAGCGTGGTGAAACTTTAACCATGCACTCACAAGAGTTGCAGGGAAAAGCCACACCTCCTACAGAAGCTAACAGCAGTTATACCCCTCCCTATCTCCTCCTATACCTACGTCAGCTATTCCTGACGTGGCAGGTCACAAACCTATCAGACGACACAATTATCCTACTTTACCTCCTACTTTACCATATATGGGTATTCTTTTGTTTTCTACATGTGGAGATTCCATTCCATACCTAGTTCCAGGCACGTACTCAGGTTTTCCCGCACATGCTCAATGAGCCTGTTGCTGAGTAGAAAATTTTAAACTTTTCTAGAACCTTCCCATTCAATTCCCCCATTTCTTATTTGGTCACTAGTTTAATATTTTCTTTTATTTCATTTAACCTACTAGTTTCTTCTTTGGTAGTTTTCATTGGATGTGAAGTATTCATATTTTCCAACAACTGGATTTGGTCCTCAATTTCTTTTAATACCATTATGGACTTAGCATTTTGTTGGGCTTGTAATATACCGTGAACTGAACTGTTTACTAGGTTCTTTATTACTGGAATCAGACAAGGTAACATCATTATTCCAATGAATATAATACATACCATAAACAGAGCCTGTTTCCAATTTCTGAATATTCCTCCCAAGAACCCTTCATCATCCAATATCCCTGTCCAAGTTTGTACAGGTACATGTGCAATTCTAACCATATCTTTCGTTATCTGGTTAATTACCATGCCTGAATCGTTAATTTGTATACAGCAATTTGTTAAATTAAATTTTCCACAGACACCTCCTTCCTTAGCCAACAAATAATCTAAAGCCAAGCGGTTTTGCATAATATATGTTCTGGACAAAACACTTTCTTTAGCCAACTTAGTTAAAGCCTCAGCTGTTCTATTGGTTATAATTTCTACTACTGCTTGTAATCGGATAATTCTGTTTAACATATAAATTGGGGTCCTATACCCCCAACTTCCATCTTGGGCCCATGTAGCTGGATCATAATAAGCAATTATTCGTTCGGGTGGCCATTCATCATCTTTCCAATTCCCAATTTTTAACCCTTCTCTCACTTTAGCCACAGATCGCCTTACCAAATTTCCCACATGTTCATAGGCAGGGACACCCAATAATTGTCTTCTTTGTAATGGCAAGAGGAAGAAAGAGGGTTGTATAGCACCCAGAATACAAGACCCAAACCATCCAGCAGGGAGAATATTATATGCAAATGCTCCGCAGATCCAATATAACCCATCAGGAGTGGTCCAGAGGAGGGTATCGTTTTCAGGATCTTTTAGGAAG